TAGGTACTAGGTAACGCAATTTTATACGAATTATCATTTATACGTTCAACGAATTGAAAAGGGCCATCCGAACATGGTTGAAGCTTACCTCCATGCCCCTTGGAAAACTGATCCATTCTCAGATGAACCCACACTAGATCTCCTTCTTTAAAAACCACCCGCTTCCGGTGAACATTAGCCTGCCTCTGATAGACAATGTTATTATTGATAATTTGTTCTCACACCCGCTGATGAATTTCTTTAATTTGATATGATATTTCTTCACCTTCAGCACTGAAATGGTTAGTTTCCGGTAGTGGTGCAAGGTCTAATGGTGTGAACGGATTACACCCATAAACTATAAAAAGTGGACTCTTACCGGTAGATCGGATTGGCGATCGACTATAAGCAAACTCAACTTGTGGAAGTATGGCATCCTATTCCCAACAAGACTACACATAAGGTTTCCAAGGCTATGGTTTGTGACTTCATTTTGATCGTGACTTTGCGGGCGATGTGGACTATTGAAATGAAGACGTGAACCCAACCGTTTTGACAAAGTTCGCCCAAAATATCCTATGAATTTAACATCACGATTAGATGTTAAGGATGTGGGCACACCATGAAGCTTAATGATTTCTGCAAAGTAAAGACGAGGGATTTAACTAACATCATATGTCTTGGCACATTGAACGAAGTGTTCCATCTTGGAAAACCTATAAACCACTACCATAATTGAGTCTTTTTTTGTCGCTATGTATGTGGAAGACCAACAACAAAATCAAGGCTGATGTCTTCTTATGGACCCTTAAGAACAGGAAGTGGAGTGCATAGATCCACATTTGACTGGTGGTTTTAGCAACATGACAATTTCGACATCTAGCCACAACACGAGTGACATCGGTCACAATTTTGGGGCAATAAAACTGTTCCTGTTCAAGTTTTAGTGTTTTGTCACTTCCAAAATGTCCGGCTAATCCTCCTTGATGATTTTCTAACGCAATTGCGTCCTGTAACGAACACTTCGGGTCACATAGTTGCTGTGTTTTGAACAGGAAACCCTCATGGACATAATATTTTTTTTTGTGAATTCTCTAGGTTGTCATGTGGTAGTGTCTCCAGACCTCTGCGAAGTCTGGGTCATTAGGATACAACCCACAAAAAATATCAAACCCTTCCACTCAAACCTTTAAAGATGTGAGTAGCGTGTGATGTCGGATAAGGGCATCAACCACTGTGTTACTTGAACCCGCTTTGTGTAGTATGACGAATGAAAATTCTTGAAGGTATTCAACCCATTTTGTGTGTCTCGGGTTGATTTTGTGTTTATTGTTATTAAAACAAAGAGCTTGATTGTTTGAGTATAAAATAAACTCACCTGGTAGTAAATAATGACGCCAATACTCGAGGCTTTGAACTATCGTATATAAATCTTTATCATATGTTTTATACTTCTGCCTTGTGTCATTAAATTTTTCACTAAAAACACAATTGGTCAGTTATTTTGGCTAAGACGGGAGTTTGTGTCACCTTTTATTTTAATTCTTCAAACGCCTTGTCAGTTGCATTAGTCCAACTAAACTTGTGTCCTTTAAGACAGTTAGTAATAGGAGTGGCGATGGAGCTGAAATTGCAAATAAAACGACGATAAAAGGAAGCTAACCCGTGAAATCTTCGTACTTCATGAATTGACGTGGGAGTGGGCCATGTTGTAATTTCGCCCACTTTAGACTCATCATTTCGTATACTTGTTCCCGACACAAGGTAACCCAAAAAGAGAACTTCACGCGATAAGAAATGACATTTAGTCCGGTTTGCATATAACTTCTGATTTAGCAAAATAGGGAAAACTTGTCGAAGGTGGCGGATGTATTGGGCTACATCTTGGATGAATACTATAATGTTGTCAAAATAAACAACTACAAAACGCCCAATTTGGTCTTTAAAGACCTGGTTCATTAGCCACATGAATGTACTTGGTGCATTTTATAGGCTGAATGACATAAGCATCCACTCATACAATCCATCACGTGTTTTAAAAAGCGGTTTTCCATTCATCCCGGAGACGCATTCTAATTTGATGATACCCGCTTCGGAGGTCGATTTTGAGAACACTCACAAGCCATGTAGCTGATCAAGAAGGTCTTCAAAGAGAGGTATAGGAAAACGATATTTTGATGGTTATCTTGTTGATGGCTCGGCTGTCTTTGCACATTCTATAGGCACCTCCTGGTTTTGGAACTAATAATTTCAGGATGGAACAAGGGTTCATGCTTTCTCGAATGAGCCGATTCTCAAAAAGTTATGTCACTTGCCTATCTAGCTCATCGAATTCTTTAGAGTTTATCCGATACGTCGGTTTGTTTGGTATGACAGACCCATGTATGAAGTCAATATAGTGTTGTACATCTCTGATAAAGGGTAAACCACATGGGATTTTGTCAAGATATATCGCTTTGAACTCTTCGAGGAGAGGTTGTACTTCGTGTGGTGCCTCTTTTTCTTCACTATTGTGTTCACCCACTATTCGGGCATACATGAACGATGGTGTATGGTTTCTGTTAAAGTCAATGAAGGCTGATTTTTTGAGGAAGAGAGCTTCTGTCCCCATCTCATGGGGTATTAAGGGCGCTAAGGTAATATTGATTCCATCCTTGACAAATGAATAAGTATTTTTAAACCCACCATGTTTTGTGTGTCGATCATATTCCCAAGGTTGTCCCGGTAGAACATGACACATATCCATGGGAACTACTTCACATCATACTTCATCTGAATACTGGTTACCAATAGAGAATTGTACGATACACTGATGACTGACTTTAAAAACATTCCTTTTTTAGACAAGTTAATTGATATGGGTCGGGGTGAGGTTCTATTTTCAACACCAACTTGTCAACTATACTTTTTTTTTTTTTTTGAAAGGGAACTTCCCTAACGAGGGTTTCCGGGCCAGCTTTCGCGCACCGACTAATCCCCCGCTGCAAACATAAAGCTTTGCTTCATGCCCTGGAGTCACTGCAGACGAACCTCCATGGCCACAAGGGCTGAGTGGTGCCAGGATTTGAACATGGGTCAATAGGTTATCCACCATATCTTCCACATGCCTTACCAAGTCACCACAACCCAAGTGGTTAACTTGTCAACTATACTTGTGGCGACCATATTCTCATAAGTTCTCCAGACTATGATGATGGTACATACTTTACCCTTAGATGTGCATTTGGTAAGGAAGATGTTGTTGCGAAGCCACAACATGCTGTCAACGAATGGGGTCAATATGTTATCGAGGACTCTTTGGGTCACTAAGGGCTGACCCTTATCAGGGTAAAGGACTTCATCCTCTTCCGCTTCTTCTTTAACCTTTGTATCATAAATATGTTGTGTATCGTCCACGAGTGTTTCTTTAGTGATTGTGACAAGTTGTTGGCTGGGACAATCACGTGTGTAATGACCTATCCCGTAACATTTGAAATAACAGCTTAACCTGGATGATGGAGTTGCTTGTGTGGCTAGACCCCATGATGCCGCTGCTTTGGTTGGATCAAATCTACTTCTAGGTGAACTATTTGTAACTTAACGAAATGTTTCAGCTTTGTTTGTGTTGAACCTATAAGGGGTCACTTTATTTTTGTTTTTACTTTGTTTTTCCACCTTCAATGCCAAGTTACACATATTTGTGAAGGTCCAATACGAATGGAGCTGAACAATTTTTCAGATTCGGTACGTAAAGAGTCTAAAAACCAGGCGACAATTTGTTCCTCCTGTTCCTCGGCTCCACATCTCATCCTTAACCTATAAAATTCAGTAATAAACTCCTTGAAGGTAGAGCTCTGCTGCGATAAGTTGCGATACTCTAAAGAGGCTTATTGGCGATAGTTTGGTGATAAAAAAATTTCACACAATAGTTTCCTTATTTTAGCCCAAGTTTCAACCTTTGATCGTCCCTTTTGTGATCTTTTCTTTTTTAAATGTTCCCACCATAGTGAAGCATATTCACGTAACTTAATAGCAACATGTTTTACCTATGGTTGTTGGGAATGTCTTTCAAGTTAAAGACCCTTTCAACCGTATTAAGCCAGTCAACAAAATTATCAGGTTCAGCCTTCCCATCGAATTTTGGAATATCGACTTTCATCCCCATGCTACGGATTAGGTCCATCTCATATTGCCCTCGTCGCTGGTTTCGACCCCCAAAAGGGTTCGATTACTGCCATCATCACCTTTGATATTTATTTCTGACTTGGTTTCTTCATCTTGTTCTTCATGTTGTAATTGTAGGTCGCAAACCCATTGTTGCAACCTCACAATCTCCGCAGTATCACGTGGGTCTCTCACATAGTCCTCATTGCCTCTATCGGCATCTTTATGGGACTGTTGTTGCGGCCCTCGTCTATTGTGATTCATCTTCTAAGCTCTGATACCAACTGATGCAGTTTCTTAAGCACCTGAGGTTGGAACAGAGGATAATAGAGAATTCTCAAGAAAAAAAGTTCTTTATTAGTCAATCAAAATTCTACCTCTTCCAAAGCAAAACATCCAAAGCTAAAAATAATTCTACTCCTAGAAACTAGGTAACAAACTAATTAACGGATAACTCAAGTCTTATCAAAACCCAAACAAAAATAAATTATTAAACTAAAGACAAAAAAGCAAATTAAACCAAATGGTCTGGGATCCAACTTGGCTTTCACGAAACCCGGGTCAACTCGGGGCACCGATATCACACACACACACATACACACATATAGAAAGAGAGAGAGAGAGAGAGAATATTAAAATATAAAAAAATAATAATAATTAGTGAAGTACCTCCGCTTTGCGGGGGTTGGATTTGTGTTCGACTGTTTGCAAAAAGCGGAGCCATCATAACTCATTTAAGTGAATGTAAGGAAATAAAAGTAGGAGGGTATGTGTTAATACACAAACAAATGAAAATTCATTCTTATTTTCAGCCAAGTAAACATGACAATGGAATGGGATGGTTCATTCCATTCCACTATTCATTCTAGCTTTTATAGTTAACTGATCAAGTTGTGGAGTTGTAAATGCCTTAAACCATGATCCAAAAAGGATAAGCTTTGGATTATGATTGACACTTCAAGCTGCAAAGAACAATTAGACAATAAATAATATGCACATCCACCAGTTATCTCAATTATGACCTTCTTCAAGAAACATTTATTAATGCTATAAAATATTTCATTTTAGAATTTAAGATATTAATTTTAAAATGAAGATTACTCACATCCTCCCATGATCGTGAGATCATATCCCTTAAACTCATGTTAATCAACAGGTTAAATAAGTTGAATAAATTTTTGTTTTCATTAGCTATACCTTTCCTAGCACCCATAACTTTGAAAGCATTTAAAGAATGAATGAAGGAAAGTATCGGTTTAAAAACTCCAAGATGGCTGACCTTATGAAAAGAAGATTGTCTTTTTTGAGTTTTAAATCACACATTGTAACTATTAAGAACCAAAATATAAGCAAATAAAAGTTTTGATTACTTGTTTCGTTTCTCAAGCTGTGTTTTCCCTGAAACAATATCCATTGTTATAGTAAAACAGAATATGTGTAATAAGAATATACATATTATGAAAATGGATTAAATGAAGCATCTCATTCAAGTAAACATATGGAGCACTTACTTACAAACTCATACAACATGATTTAATGGAGGAACATTACGTATAGTAAACATTTTTAGGGGCAAAATCATAAATAGCAGCTGGAATTGGCAAACTTGGGTTGGGTTTTAATAACATATGAGCCCAATGACAAAAAGTTGACCTAGAAAGGGAAAATCAGGTGGAAAAAAGAAGAATTTTATATCAAAAGTGTAAGTATACCTCAAGAACAGAAGCTGATATAGGTTCATCATTGAGGAATACTTCAGCAAGCTGATTAGCAACATTAGAAACTTCTTCAATTAACCTGCACCTCTTTTCTGCAGCCATTGTTATTCCTAATGGCATTTGCACTGTAGAACTATGATGTCGAAGCTTTTTCCTTTCCTAATTGAAAAAGTCAAGAAGTTAATAAATTTTTGATAATTTTGCCCTTTTTTTAAATCTTACCATGAAAACAAACCAAAAATAAAGAATATACCTTTCATACCCAAGCCCTACAAGAATAAGTGACATAAACCCCCAAAACTTTATTGGTTTCATATTTGTTATAAAGTAAGCCTGTAAAATTAAAAAATAATAAAAACTCCATATATTGTCTTAAGTAAAATTGAAAAGGTTTATTTAAATTACCTCTCCTACAGCTCTCGTTCATGCACATCCATCTGAAGCTGGAGCTCTTTCAGCACATACATGAGCATGTGCAACATTCTCAACATATGTGAAATCATACATTAATCCAAAAATCAACTACAAAATGTAAAATTTAAAATCAATTCCAATTAAATAGAGATCAATTAAAATTGTAATTGAGTTTCAGATTACCTTTGATTTCCCTGCCCTTGCTGACAACTACTTGAACCATTACCGTCGTTTCCAGGGGTATTTTCATCATTATTACATGCTCATATGAATCTTGTTGGACCGTCTGGAACCTCCACTACCTGATCAATGTACATAAAATCCATAACCTGCAACACAAATAGTATATGCAAGACAATCTAATGAGTTACACACTGAAATATTATGTTAAAATATTTGAACATGATACTTTGGGGGAAATGCTTGTTTTTGGTGACACAACTGACAATACTTATATTTAACAACATAATCCAAATGATTTATAGAATTATCTACTGATAAATTTCTATGCAGATGCAATAATATGAAAAATAGAAAATTATTCAAATGCAAGTATTACCCTCCCAAAATGAGCATTGATATGCGTTTCTGTATTCTATCTAGTTCATTAAGGTATTTTGTTCTTCCTTCACATGCTCAAGTTTTGGCTTAGCACAAACAAACAGACACATCTCACTGCACACTTCAAAATTAATGTCACCTTTTATAAATTGCAACTCTCTTTTTTCAATGGGCTTTACAACATAGATAGTTACAGGAGGAATTTCAAAGAAAAATTGTTCAAAGGCCGATGCAGACATCAGAGAATCCCTAAATTGGATAACCCAGAGAAAAATAGTTATGCCAAAGAAATTTCAAAGTAAATTTGGATTGAGCTCCAAACTGACATAGACAAATTTCACTTTTATTCCAAACCTACTACTTGTCCTCTGTTGATCTTCATCTCGTATTAATGAAGAAACGAAGTTCAATCGACCTTCGAAGAAACCCTATCTGACCCAAAATGCAAAAAAATGTAAGAATTAACAAAAAAGGCAAAAAAAAAAAAAGAAGAAATTACTTTAAGTTGTGTTGTCTCCTTCATTTATCACTTGCTACCTCCAAAATCTCAAAAAACTGATGTTCATAGGAGAAGACATTGCGTTAGGATGTAAGGGGCTCGATGACAGACCTGGTGGCTCAATGGTGGTCGAATGATTTACAGAGGAGAGTGGAGATGGAGACGTAGACGATTATTTAGGGCTTTTGCATATGTCAAAGGATCGATGATGTATACAGATGAATGTATAGGCGGTGGGAGATACATGGAAGGTAGAAGGAAACAACATGTATAACCAATATAGGTTAAAGTGATATTATTGGGGAATACAAACGGTGGAGTACACTGTGTCGGGTTAAGAAGTCGGTGGAGAAAGAGAAGGACACGTGGAAAAGAAAAAAGAAAAACAAAAAAGAAAAAACCTACCAGTGACAGGCAAAAAAATAATGGTGGTCCAATAGGGTTAAGTTACTGTTCAATTGGGAACCATCCTTTAATATATTTATATAATTAAAGATGTATAATAATCAATTTGAAATTTGACATGAACCAATATCATGACGCTTGAGGGTGTGGGTGTACACTGACCTCGGTAATAAATTACCGTGGCAAAGGTGGGACACACCATTCCCTTTCTTGTTCTTGCCATAGTAAATTTTATATGAACAGTAATCACGGTATATAGAGCTTAGATAGATGCCAAAGAAAATAAGATGTTATATTGACCAACATAACAACGTTCCTTAAAATCTAACAAAACATTTTAAAAAAAAATACAATTAGAAACTTTTTTAACTCCATCTAGAAAACAACGTAATATGGCGGCCATTTTTGCGGTTTTCTCTAAAATATATATGCATTTTATTCTTAAATCTTGTTATCCTTTACACTATAATACTCTATCACTCTTTTGCATTTTTGTAATAACTGATATTTATTTGTAATTCACAGATTCGTATGATAATTCGCAGATTCGCATTCGTTGTGGAATTATTATTGAGTTGAATTTTTATTTCACACAATGATAATGAAGTTGACAAATTTTAATATCGTGTATTTAATTGCTTGGGGTCAATTAAAACATGTTAACCGAAAAATAATAATAATAATAAAGGAAGTTGATACGTAATCATCAAAATTATATGATAAAAAAAGAATAAGTTTAGTTACATGAGACTAAATTTCTTTTCAGATTAAACTTAATTTTTATTTTATTTTTTGAAAAATACCTTTATAATTTTTTATTTTCCTAGAATTGCTCATCAACATGTTTATCGTTAACCTTCAGATTTTATACAACTTTCTTTTAAGAAATAGCCTCAACTTATTTTTCGAAAACAAATCCTTAATTCTTTTCCGAAAAAATCATCATATTTGCAAAAAAAAAAAATTGTTTAGACCGTTTTTTTTCTTCATAATTACTATGTTTTTCATGTGGTTGTTGCATATGATGTTTTGATAGTTTTAATTTTTTTTTCAAAATAACGAGAAACGATGTAGTGTACAATGGTAAAATGCATATAAAATATGTTTACATGATGCTCGGAGATTGTATAGGTGAAGAACAACATTCGAACTTGATGTGATATCTTAGACCAGTTGTAGTTCGGAGAATGTCTATTTGTTTATTCTTAAAACAAGTGTAGATATCAAGCTAGCTTAGACCCTTGGTCTTCACTTACTACAATATCTAGATATTAATAAGTTACATGTACAAGCAACTTCAGTAAATCCCATGGACGCTCCCGCCTTTGCATTCAACAATTCACTATAATCAATCGTTGATACAAATTTTATGATAAAAGACATTGATACGAATCAAAATATGGTACTTTTGTGAGTTTATGTTTAGGATTAAGTGAGATTAACACATAGTCATGCTTTTACCACTATAATGAAAATATTAATTCAAACCAATAGTCCATGATTTTAGCGATTTTATAAGAGGATTAAACATGAATCATTAAAATTGTATTTGCATTCCTTAATTACAAACCAGAAAGAGAAAATACAATACCATCTTTGCGGTAACATTTTTAATTTAATCGTCAGATGAATTGAATTTGAGGGTTCTTATCCAGAGTTTTAGTTCATTTCTTTAAATTGAGTTCGATGTTGAACTATATATATATATATATATATATATATATATATATATATATATATATATATATATATATATATATGTGTGTGTGTGTGTGTGTGTGTGTGTGTGTGTGAAATGATAATCTAGCCCTATAATTGTAACATCTCCTTCTGGCACGTACCACAATATTGTCCGTTTTTGGCTCCCGACACGAAAACTTTCCTAAGGTCACTCATCCCTGAACTGTTCTCGCACAGACACGCTTAACTTCAGAGTTCTTATGGGATCTACCCTCGTGACTTTAAAACACATTTTGACAGGGAATGTATCTACATACCTTATAAGGAATGTTTAGTTCTCCTTCCCAAACGATGTAGGATCAAGTTGCATTTTCAACCCCCTTTACAGGGTTCAACGTACTCGTTAAACACTTTGACTCGTGCCCCAACTTTGATACGATGATAATACTTGTGGTATCCCCCACTGACACGTTTCAAAATATTGTCCGCTTTGGGCTCTCGGTATAAAAACTTCCCAGGGGTCACCCATCCATGAATTGCTCTCACCCGGGTATGCTTAACTGCAAGGTTCTTATGAGATATGCTGACCTCAAAGCTTTAACACACGTTGTGATAGGGAAGGTGTCCACACCCCTTATAAGGAATGTTTAGTTCTCTTTCCCAGTCGATGTGGGATGACGCGTGGGTAGACACCCTCCCTCACCTTCCATTACAAGACTTGCCGTTGTTGTTGGACACATCGACCAATGCCCTAGCTTTGATACCATTTGTAATACCCCCTTGGCAAGCATCACAAAATTATTCGCTTTGGGCTCCCAACACAAAAATTCCAGGAGGGTCACCCATCCTAGAATTGCTCTAGCTCAGGCACACTTAACTGTAGAGTTCTTATGAGATCTGTTGCCCTTGCGAATTTAAAACGTGTTGTGATAGGGAAGTTATCCACATCCTTATAAGAATTACTTAGTTCTTCTTCCCAGCTAATGTGGGATCAGGTGCAGGTAGCTACCTACATTTTTTTAACATCTTCCTCCAACACGTATCACAATATTATCCTCATTGGGCTCCCGATACGAAAACTTCATAGGAGGTCAACCATCCCTGAATTGCTCTCACTCGAGCACACTTAACTGCAGAGTTCTTATGAGATTTGCTGCCCTCACGAAATTAAAACACGTTGTAACAAGGAAGGTATCCACACCCCTTATAAGGAAATGCTTCGTTCTTCTTCCAAGTCAAAGAGCAATTTAAGTATGGGTGACCCCCTAGAAAGTTTTCGTGTCGGGAGCCCAAAGTGGACAATATTATGATATATGCCATATTGGGATGTTACAAATGGTATTAGAGCTGCGGAACAGTTCGATGTGTTCGATAGGGACGTCGAACCTTGTAATGGGGGGTGAAGGTGGGTGCCTACCTGCATCTGATCCCACGTCGGATGGGAAGGAGAATTAAATATTACTTATGAGGGGTGTGGATACCATCCCTGTCACAACGTGTTTTAAATCCGTGAGGGTAGCAGATCTCATAAGAACTCAACAATTAAGCGTGCATGGGCGAGAGTAATTTTCGGATAGGTGACCCCCTGGGAATTTTTTGTGTTGGGACCCCAAAGCAGAAAATATTATGATATGTGTCAGAAGGGGATGTTACAAATCCTAATACTACACCAGCTGGGAAGGAGAACTAAACGTTCCTTATAAGGGATGTGGATACCTTCCCTGTTACAATGCATTTTAAAGTTGTAAGAGTAGTTATAACACCTGTGTTTACTGCTAGATTAGTCGTAGTTTATAATCAGTTTGGCCAACTATTGTAATCTTTATATGATCGAACAAGAAAGGATTATTCATATATTTATATGCTTATGTGATATTATGTGAAAATTATATAAGTATTTAATAATAAAATAAATAAGATTAAAATACACATCGAACATAAAAGATTA